GCTTTGGCTGAAGGCGGGGGCGTTGTCGTTGACGTCGGACACCTGGACGGTGATGTTGTGCTGGGTCTGCAGCCTGGGGGTGCCCATGTCCGAGACGGTGATCGTGATGTTGTACTCGGATGTCAGCTCTCGGTCCAGCGGTGTATTTGTCACTAGGGTATAAAAATTCTCAACAGAGGGTTTAAGGAAGAAAGGAAGATCATCTTGGATAGAACAAACCATCCTTCCATTGTCTCCGGAGTCAGGATCTGAAACACTGAATACAGCAATTACGGTCTCTGGCAAGTTTTCTGCGATCTCACCATTAAGTGTTGACATGGTCAGTTCCGGCGGGTTATCATTCAAATCTATCACTTGCACAAACACCACACAACTTCCAGAAAGACCCCCACCATCTGTTGCCTGAATATTTAATGTGTACGTCTGGATGGATTCGAAATCCAGCTTCTTTGTTAAAAAGAGTTCTCCTGACTTTGCATTCATTCGAAAAGTTTTGCGGATGTCTTCAGAGGCTTGGGAAAAAAAATAAGCTATTTCTCCATAGGCTCCAATGTCTAAATCCCTAGCAGAGACCATGACAACCTGAGATCCAACAGGACTGTTTTCTGGAACCTGCACTTCATAAAGTGGTTTTGCACACTCGGGGGCATTATCATTGACATCCACGACTTCAATGCGGATCAGGGCAGTACCAGACCTTGGTGGAGTCCCACCATCCAGCGCCGTGAGGGTTAATCTGATCTCTGACTGTTCCTCCCGATCCAGTGGTTTGTCCAGCACCAACTGTGGTATTATGCCTTCAGGGCTGTCTTGCAATTTAAGGTGAAAGTGGGCATTGGGGCTGACCATGTAACTCTGGAGAGTGTTACTTCCTACATCTAAATCCTGGGCACGTTCTGTTAAGAAAGTAGTTCCGGGAGTGATACTTTCTGAAATTCTCAAAATTATTTCTTGGTCTAGGAAAACAGGGGGATGATCATTTATGTCCCTAATCCGTAGGTCGGCCTGAAAAAACTGCAAGGGATTTTCCAGTAACACCTGAAAGGGTAGTATGCAGGGCTCTGTAGGGCCGCACAGCTCCTCGCGATCCAGTTTCTCATTTAATAACAAATCTCCCGTCTGCCTATTGAGCTGCAAATGCATTTTTTTCCCTTTGGAAAGGACCCGAGCACCCCGCGCAGCTAGATCTTCTACCTCCAATCCTAGGTCTTTTAACAAATTGGCCACAAAGGAGCCAATCTCCATTTCCTCAGCCACTGAATAGTGCCTAGGCTCGGAACCAGATTGAGCTACGCCCAGCAAAACAAAAAATACAAAGACTTGCCTTTGTTTCAGAAAGAGTTCCTTTCCTTCTCTGGCCTCCATCGCCTCTGGTCTCCCAGCAAACCTTATCCAGCTCGGGCTCGCTTGTCGCTGCCTGTGTCCTCCCGGTATCTCGAAGACCGTGGGTTAAGAGGAGCTGCCTCGGGCCCCGGCACCCCGAGAGACCGCCTTTGACAGTCTCCCTTCCGGCTCGCGGTTGTAGCAGTGCTTCTGGCAGGGGAGTGCGGGCTGGTGGTATTGTCTTCTTTTGAATTCTAAGGCTGCAGCGCCACCCCGCGTCCTTTCTGAGTATGAATTTTCTCAGAAATAAGAAAATCCCAATCGTTTCAGGCAGCTGGCACTCTAAATAGAATATTTTCAAGTAGTGGCCGTCAATGTATAGAAGCCTTATCTGCACTCCCAAAGGCCTTTTCATTGCATCCATAACGACATAGCAGGCATAGACAAATTTCCATTCCAGTTTCCTCACAAAATCAAATGTCTTTTCTTAAACTGGTAAAAAAAAAAAAATCAACACAGAAACTGTAGGGAGTAACTTCAGTCCTAGGATGAAGAGAAGGAAGACCTTGGCTAGATACTTCTCAGTTTTATTCAGATGCTGGTCACGGAGGCAATTCATTGGTAGTTAGGTTACCAGCTTCAAACTCAAGTCCAACAGAAAAGTATAGAGATGCAGGGAAAACACAGCATTCAAATGAGAACACTCCCATGGATGCTGAAATACTCTCCTCATTCATATTTCTCTCTTGCATTGTTCCCATCTCATGTTTTCCATGCATTTGAACAACATGAAAACCTCCAAAAGTAGCTGGAGCATTTCTTCTTTTGAATATAATAGTATTTTTATTTTCTTTTTTAACAAACAAGCTTTTTAAAAACAAAACCTTGACTCAGTGGTCATATATAGCAATGTTAACAAATATATAGCATTGTTAATACCCAGTAAGTAATGATGTCTCCAAATATCTTTTAAGATGTCTTTTTAGAGAAGATTTGTTAAATCAGATGTCAAACTATGTATCTATATTGTAGTTTTTTGGGACTGTCTGTGGCCATCAAGCCACAAACCAAATGCACAAAAAGTAAATGCATATTGCTTAGGGAAAGAAACAGTCTAAAAGGCTACACATTCAATAATTGCGACTACGTGATATTCTGGAGTAGGCAAAACACACTTAAAAGATCAATGAGTTTTTTTTGGGGAGGAAGGAACAATCAAATTTTTTTAGGGAACTGAAATTTTTATTTATGGGATACATGCCATTTATGCATTTATCAGAACCACAGAACACAAAGGAGTGAACCCTTATCTGTCTGCACATTAGTTCACAACAACAGATCATTACATACAGCAAATGCACCAGTGAGATGTTAATATGAAAGGAGACTGTAAAAAGGAAAAAGTGTGTCTATGAGAACTCTGTACTAGCTGCTCAATATTTTGTAAAATCAAAAGTTGCTCTAAAATAGTCTATTATGTTAAGGTTTGTTTGTTTGTTTGTTTATGCATAGAAGAACTGGAGTACAGGCCAGAAGTTTGTGTGGGTGGGGGAGGGTAAGGGATTCACCAGACACAGAGTGGGGGGTGGGGATTGGGGGGGCAAAACAGACAGATCTACTAAAATACAATGCTGAGGGAAGCAGTGGGCAAAACAGGAGAAGTGTGCTGCACCACGTGAAATAGCTCTCCAACTGGGATCGAACTCAGGCCATAAAAGTGGGCCTTCCTGGTGGCAGCACTGAGATTTAACCCTTAGGCCACTACAGAGGCCCCTCTAAAAGTTGTCTATTAGTTAGAAACATTCATAATGCTTCAGATATATAGAACAGTTAAAAATAACTGTACAAATATAACTATCCTCCATCCAAAGTTTAGAGTTGTTTTGCCACATTTTTAAAATTCTATACACATGCTTATTTTTTTAAAAAAGATTTATTTGTGCATACAGAACTGGGGTACAGGCCAGAGGCTCAGGGGCAGTGAGAGGCTTCACCAGAGACAGAGTGGGGGACAGAACAGGCAGATCGAAGAAGTACACTGCTGAGGGGAGCAGCGGGCGGGTCAGGAGAGGTCTGCCACACCATGTGGTCACCTCCGGGGCAGGCGGGAATTGAACTCATGCGGAAGCAGCTTTAGATTCTCAGTGCTGTGCTTTAACCCTCTGCGCCACCAGGGAAGGCCACACATGCCTATTTTTTAACCTCTAAATATTTCATCAGATACATACTAAGTATAAGGACATTTCCCAAATAACCACAATGCTACTATCATCCTGACAAAATTAACAATTCCATAATTCTTGGTAAAACCCACTTCCTGTTATAAAATTAATTATCCTTCTCTAATTTTCTTCAACTTTGAGTAAAATACACATTCACACTTGAATTCCTTTTATAAATGTACTGAACTACTTGTTACAAGAAATATCTTAGAAACTTTTTTTTTAAAGTCAAGTTTCATGATTGTATTTGGTGTCATCTTTTATAACAGATTCCCATCTTTCACAACACCAAATTTTTAGGTGTCCGGATCAGTTGTGTGGCTTGTCCTATGTTCTAAATTTATTGGATTTTGTTCCTCGGGTGTCATTTATCTACTCATCTATGCCCTATATTTCCAAAAGACTGGAATGAATGATATAACTATAATATTGGCCTAACATTTTAAAAAGTTCCCATTTATTTTCTGTACTTTTGTGTAAAAAATTGGAACCTCACAGGTTCACTTCCAGACTTCACTTGAAGGCCTTCTGGATGTAATCTGTCTGCTGCCAACACCTTGACCATCACATATCTCTTTCTGCATCAGGAAAGTAATCTGAACAGTGAATTGCATTATCATCAACCACTAGTACCACATTACTATCTCTTTTCCTTATGAAGAACTTGACACTTAAAGCCTTCAATTCAGGGGTGTCGGTGCAAACAGGTTCATCAGAAGGAGAGATACACATTCTGGGGTGGCAGCAGTGATTGGTTGTTGGGCATTTTTAAAAGCCTGTGGCTATAGCATGAAGTCTGAGGCTGTATTCTATGTTGGGTATGTGTAAGAGCACTTTGGTGAAAGTAAAGACAGGATTCTATTTCATTTTCATTCGGGGCGGGGGGCAAATCTCTGGTAGTGATTATAGTATTCTTATTTTTTTCCTGTCTACCTCCATGGAAGAATTTAGGGTGAAGGGATGTACTAGAAACACAAAACATCTTTTTTTCTTTTTTCTCTGCAATGGGTTGTAAACACAGAAAACATTAACTACGATCTCAAACTGGTTTGCTAAGATGTAGTTCATAAATGATAAAATGACTAATATGGCTGGACTGTCTTTTACATCAGGAGAGTTATGTTTCAAGAAAGTCTATTATCATTGATAATCTGAGAACCCATACTATACATTAGTATTGCCTTGGAATCAATGAATTTTAGTAGTCGGTGTCTTTTTAAACCAGTGAAAGTATTGTAATAAAAATTTTCATTTCACCTTTAGTGGCCCAGAAAAATCTTAAAGATATTTATCTATTTTATCTTACATCCAAATATTTGACAGAAAAGATAATAGCTAGGGAGGGAAGACCTTTTTTTCTAAGACTCTTTTTAATATAGATATGCAAACATCACTGGGAACCCACAACTTTGGTAAAGGCCCTCTGGGTCTGTATGGTAATCTACCAGTAGTTACTGTTATGGCCACATTATCCTCAACCTATTTCTTTCCACTGAGAAATCAGCCCATTCCATCCGGGATATTTCCTGTCACATTATCCTGGCAGTTGTAAAGAACAGAAATGGGGATTAGGATTCTAGCTGTACTAATGAATGAGAAGCAGGCCTCTCTGCTTCATAGACTTGGTTCCTACAGGTATGCTCTACTGGATTTTTTTTTTTTTGGTGGGGGCAGGATTCCGAAGTCCAAGAACTCACTAATGAATAGTTATTTGCAGTCATGCTCAGTTGAAGGACAAATAAATTAGTGGTCCTAATAGGCTGTGTATGTTTAGTAGGTGATACCACCTAGATTTGTCTAAATTTGCTCTGAAGTCTACCTCACAATGGCCTTCTCAGAATGTATCTGTGTATCCTCTGTCTTCAAGCTATGAAGGACTGTATAGTGTCAACTCAACTTGGAAAAATACAAAGGATTTTCATTTAGCAATTGAAAACTCAGCATTTATGTCTCACTGGATCTGCATACCAACTTTGACCCAAGTCTGCTGATTTCAAAATGCTATCTTTATCTTCAGAAATATGAATTACCCCCTTACTCCCCTCACTACTGCCCATACCTTCCCCAACTTGTGTCCAAATCCCTGCTAAATTAGGAAGGAATTGAAACTATTCTACGGGGCCTGTGAAACAGAACTCTGTAGGAATGTAGTCCTATGGTTGAGTACTTCAACAGTATATGCTAAAGTCAGATTTTGCTTTAGATAGGGCTATAAGTATCCTATTATTCTCTCTTTTAATACCTTTCAGCAAATACTACATGCACAAAGTCTGAGCACACTAGCCTTTTTTCTGTTGCTTATACCACCAAGTCTCAGCCTTCTAGTACAACTCTCACTGTTGGAATAGGTAATATGGCACATAGAGTATTGTATTTAGAATTTGGTTTAATCAATACCTGAGCCTGCAGTGCCATGCTCTGAGCTTTCTTAGTTTTTCAAAATCTCCAGAAAGAAGAAAAAATATTTCAGAATGATGAATGAAAATATCAAATATTTCATATATATTCTTTATATATATATATATATATAAATCTTTTATACCTATCCAGTTAAATAATGTCATTTTAATTTTTTCTGCAACTACTATACATTAAAAGCAACAAGTAGGTCTCATTTGAGAAATATGCTTTTGTATCCTCTACTTTTGATCATTCTGAACCATATTAGAGGGTTTTGTTTACATTGACACAAAGCAAAGAGATTTTTTTTTTGCATGTTCACATTCCTGATAGAACATGTACTGGAGATGCTGGAATATTACTGCAAAATAACAAATTATTTTTGGCATTTAATAAATAACTTGGTAAAGTTTAACAAATAACAATTGTAGCATTGTAGTAAATAAGCTATACAATAACCCCATGAATTAGACTTTAAGTAATGGAAGAAACATTCATTTTTTTCTACAATTGTTTTTTCCCCTGTATTTTTATATCTGTATT